AAGATTCGTCTCTCAAGTCTGCCGAGGTTCAGGCGATACTAGACACTTGGTAACACCTTAGTCACTTGTTAATTTTATACAGTGAGTCATGGATGTTCACAAGCAACAAAAGTTTTTTTTTTAAATTCCAGTGGAAACATAAGGATCACAAAATCATATTGTTAGAAGAATTGAGTAATCTTGTTAATTCTAAAAATCATGTATTGAATGCTGAAAACGCAGTGACAAAACATTTTTTTTTAAGTCAATATTCCAGAAAGACATACTGTGTAACTAGACTTTACCCCTGGTTCCAGACCACACCAGTCCTTCGGTTGTATAAGAATGCCTACCTGTCATATTCATATTTACTAATTAAGCTACTGTTCCAGTAGCTAAGTTACAGTAAATGATCAAATTAAACTGATAATTGAAGTCCTACTGAACTGACTTTTAAATCTTGACTGTGTATTTTTATACATGTATGCAGTTATTTGTATGTAGAATTATCAAACTTTACAGACATAGAATGTAAGTAGTTTATAACCACTTGTATATTTTTTAAAGTGCAGCATCTCCTTAATGGCCAGATACAACATAAGGTGTTTTCCATCTATATGAATGATTTCAGTAAAAAGGAGATTTTCTCAACAACAACGAAATGTAAGTACACAACACTCGTGACAAGCCAGCAGCTGCTGAAGAGGCTTTTGGTGTCACATCAGTCTCAAATCTTTTACAGAACATCCATTAATCTTTTTCCACCTCCACATTTCCACCCCCCCTTCCTTAAATGTTGTTTTTCATTACAGAGGTTTCAAAGCTAAAGGCAGATCTATCAGACCCAGTCACTTGAAGTGTGACTCTGCATTCAGGCTAAAGCAGGTAGGTGTTTTCATATTTTATAACAGCCCTGTCCTTTAATTCAAGTTTCTTTACTTGTTTTAGAGAAATTTCATTCCAATGGTCTCCAGCCCTGATCCTACTGTAAGTACCTGCAGCACTTCAGATTTTATATCTGTATTCAGTCGACATCAAGGAATTATGGGGACACTGACTAATTAATACTGTTGAGGACATTTAGGGTTACCTACTCTATAACACTGGCTGGACTGGGGCTCTCCAGGCCCACAGTATGTGACCTCCGATATAATACACACATTTTTTAAAGATGACTATAACAAAAAATAATCCACTGTTACAAAGGAAAATGGAAATGTTATTAACGCAAGTCTTTCGTTGACATCAGGAAACATCGGACTGGCGAGAAAAGGTTAGGTTCATGTAAGAAAATGTTTTTTCAGTAAAAAGACTGAAGTGTGGGGAACCACTTTCATCCATTTTCTAGGTGCTTCTTTCAGCACGGGGTCACAGGGGGAGCAGGAGGATATCCCAGCGAGCAACGGGCACGGGACTGGACACACTCTGACCGGGTCAACGGTCTATTACAGGGCAAACACCAGGGCCAGTTTTCCCAGAAGCCAGTTGAGCTGCCGGTATGTTTTTGAAGTGTGAAAAGAAACTAGAGGAACCCCACGCAAACGTGGGGAGAACACACAAACTCCATACAGACTGTGCTCCAAGGCAGCAAAGCTAACCACTGTGCCATATCTGTTGTTTTTCACTCCAACTGGACCCTTAATCGCCAGTTCTAAACAGGGCCTGTAACTGCCTGCTTGCTTGTTCAGATTTTTCTTGCTGCACTCGGGCCTCAGGATAAATAACACTGCTAGGAAAGTACTCTATATGATTTCCGGCAACTTCAGCATCCAGAACTTTGTACAGCCTCTCCTCGGCTTGCTAATTAAGAATTTGCTCCATTATATCTGACTAGAAAGGTCTGAATGGGTGACCAGTTTATGATGAGCAGCTGCAGGTGGGAGTGACAATGTATCACATACTCCCACAGCGTGACAGTCTTTTTCTTTCTGCAAGTCCAATTGGTCACATGTCAGCTAACACACCTGAAACAGGGCATCTCTGAAACTCAATAATTACTACAGGGTTGATACCAATTACAAATCCCTTTTGTGTTTTTAAGAGCTGAAGGCAGATTTTAAAATAGGCCTTACATACTGTAGAAAATTGAAATCAATCAGTCTGTCATTAAAAACCTGGCTGGAGAAAACATGTGAAGAGATAAAGGTCTCCCAGGACCAAGACTGAGAACTACTGAGCCTGGTCAGGGAAGGTCACAACCTGGCAGGATTCACAGGTCAGGGGCTCCCAATCCTTGTCCTCCCACAACCTAAAAACCCACTGGTAGGTTAAATGGCTTCTGGGGAAACTGGCCCTCGTCTGAGAGGGTGTGTCTGAATTTGTGTCTCTGCGCGCCCTGTGGCCTGTCCAGGGTGTACCCCACCTTGAACCCATTGCTTGCTGGGACTGGATTGGGCATCCCTGCGACCCTGGATTTGATAAAGTGGTTAGAAAATGGATGGATGAAAGAGTTCTTTAGAACCTCATAAGTTAAAAGGCAAATCCCATAATGTTTAAGAGCTCAAAATAATTAAACCATTCAAATTAACCCTATTTTTAGGTTAATTAAGGGTTCACCTACTGTATGTAACTGAGAACTGAAACACATACCAGCAAGTGTGTGTAGGAGGCACTCGAGGACTGGGAACCCATGTTACCTGCTTTAGACACGCAAGAAAGAATGCTTTGGCTCAAGTAAATGAACAGTTCAATTAATGAATAAAGAGATTCATCAAGGCAGAAATTACCCCACAAGTAACCCTTCAGAAGCTTGAACAATACTGATGTTCTGATGTGTGAATATAAATGATGTCTATATACAATAGGTATTGTTTTTGACTGTAAAATAAACTGATTATAGAACAATATTTTTTCAGCCAGTAATTAATTCTAATTATACTAATAATGAATACAAATAACAAAAGAAGCATAACTTCAAGAGGTTGTGCTCCCCTTCCTCTGCACAATGTTTCTAAAGCATCGATTTGTTGTTTCCTCCAGGAGAAATGGAAAAAGGAATGAAAATCCATCACCAACCCAGCAGATGGAGACAAGCAGGTGATTTCATAGACTGCAGGACGACTCCGACACCAAGAAAGTAAGAGATGGTTCTTTACAGAATCTGTTCCAAAGCCTGCTCTGATGT